TAGAATAATCTCAAGTTACGTTCTCCAGAAACGACCTCTAATGTGCCTTACACCGTGAATCAGCCTGTATAAGATACACAATAATCCATATGGTTAAGAATGGACGAGTGGACTGATATTGAATTATAGGCATTCAATTACTTCACTGTGTTGCTAGGAACTTGAATTAATTTTTGCAACAGTTCTCACGCTTTTTTATGTATAAACAAATTCTATGCATTGTTTGAAATTGTTGAATTTCAGAACTCATTTCAAACGAACCGTCATAGCCGCCATTTGACGATACGTCGAATAAATGGTGACCCCAGTTTTTATGGTGTTCAGTTATTGGTCAGATAATCTTCCATTTCCACTCATGAACGTCACCAATTATAATCAAGTTATCAAAGAGATGTTGCAGTCCTATCGTTGAATAAAACAGAATAGGAGGAACCCATGATGTTATAGTTCATTCTTGACTTACCTATGTCGAAATATTTCTTATTCTCCATAAAAACATATCATGTGAATGTTGGAGACTTGGCAACATTGTGCTGGATGTTGAGAACTGGCAAGACCACGCCCATAATTCGTGCGCTGTTGGCACGTTCACCGATTAAAATGTCCCCAAGTGTGAATTGATATTATTATTATTTACACAAATATATTTTAAGCAATAAACCTCGAATCATAAGGGAGCATTTTGAGACAATTGAATTTGTATCGGTAATCAAGAACATTACCGTTACTCGATTGGGAATCTATGAATTATGGAATAATTGGAATAATTATTATTTCTGATGTTCCCAATCGCATTTCAACACTTGGCAACTGTGCTATGGTTTGCCCCTACTTAGGAAATAGGAAATTGTGGCGTCAGTTTCAATAGGCCTTTTCATATAGAAACGCATATAGAGGCGCATGCGCTCGTTTTTAGATCCAGAATTTGATTGGTTAATGCGAAGGTGAAGTCTCAATAGCTATAGTATGGCACATAATTCTGATTGGCCATTTCGAATATGGCGGTTTTTATTGACGTTCTATCAGACGTCAACAGTGTCAACCATCATGGGCATTCGTCATTGAGAAACAACGATAACAATATAGTATTCTCGTTTCTATATTCCTGGTGTGTTTAATTGTATTATATTAATTTAAATCAAAAAAACCGTCACTTATTCATTACTGAAGAGTGTGGTGCAAGTGTTTTGGTGAAAATGACCGCCACTGTCTTTGGATGCGAGATGTAAACACAGATAGTCATTTGTCATCTAAATTTCTAGCTGTTTGAAAACAACAATAGAATTATTGATGATTTTAGCACCTAAAAAACGACCGAAAAATTCTTAAAAAATATGAAATTGAAAGTTATGTGAGAGGTGATTCTATTTAGGAAATAAAAAAAATTAGTCCACTCTCCTAAGTGTAATGAACACATTTTTTGAGGAAGTTTTGTTGTTCTACTCACAGCTTCCCATTCTACAGGAAAAGAGTCACCTTCCTCAGAGTCAGAATCTTCACTTATTTTGAGATTATCCGTCAAGGGTTGTTCTAAGGCATTTACCTTATGGAGATCAAATTCCATAGGCCCTTCTCTGGAAAAAAATAGTGAAAATATCAAATCATTTTACTTCAATGCAAAATTATATAGTGTCTTTCAGAAACTTGGGATCATGATCACTTAACATTTTCCACCAATTAGATGCCTGTTTTTAGTATCATTACCATAGCAAGTAAACAAATTTCCGGAAATATTTTCTTCCTCCTTGGGAAAAGGAGCATGAAATTTTACTAGAAATTGTTTAACCTTATAGGTTAAATCACATTGACATTAATCTTCAGATTATGTTGAATTAATTCTATAAGTTGATAAGTTCTTTGCAAAAATAATATATTATCTACTAACTTTAGCTAAATAAACTTGTGAAAAATTGAGAGATTGAGCTATTGTGATTTATTTTTTGATACTTCATTAAACTAAAGTCAGTTAATTATATTTCATTTACCCTGAGAAAATATGTTTGTGAAAAACTGAAAAATTAAGTTACTATTGACTTATTTTTCATTATTTTGTGTACCTAAAGTGAGTTAATTGTGTGAATTTCATCAATACTACATACTGCTTCAGTTCCCTGTAACAAAATATGTTTCCACCAACTTGAGTGGAACCAAGTTAGTCAAGAATTATGGTTTCAACTACCATCAGCTGCCTTATTAGGTAATATTTTGCTTATCTGAAGTCGATATTTTGTATATTGCTAAGTGTAATCTTATACTGGTATTTTTTCAATAATATTTCTGTGCAAAATTTTCTCAGGGAATACAATTCTAGAGGTTCAATTAAAAACCGGATATTTTTGAAGCTCTTGTGGTATTATAAGTGAAAATTTATTTTGAAATTTGACTGGAGCATCAAGTTTTGGATTTGAAAAGATGAAAAATTGCTTTTTCAGTAGGTGTCACATGACTGACTACCTACCTTGATGTCAAGATACATTTTTTCAAATAAATCACTGAAAAGTTTGAAAATGTTAAATGAAAAAAGTTGTTTCTATTAAAAAAGCTGTTTCTCTTCTGATTTAATTAATAATTATGGAGAAAATTATGATTTTTTTTTTCAGAAAATAATGGTTCTGCTTAAAATTTTTGCTCTTTGATGTAAAGTTGAATTATCATCAAACATTTAGGAGTGAAATTTGTATAAATGGATTTTTTCAGTAATAAAGTTATGCCAAAGTCATCATTTGAAATATCCATATGATCCATATGATGTCAACTCTCTGTAAGACACTGTAAATATTTGGAGAACCATGAAATTTATCAATGAACATGAAAGTAATAGAATTCCAAATAGATTTCCTCATTGGCATATTCACCTTCCCAAATCACAGTTTCCATTCTCCAATAATTGCAAAATGTTATGGATAGTTTCTGTTGATTGCAAATCACAAAGGTCCACATTTTGTAACAAACACAGATACAGTATATTGGCATTCAATCTGGCAGTTCTTCTGGCAAATTGTTGTTCACTCATGTAGCTATTGCAAAAATCACTGAAACAGGAATTTACACAAGCATAAACATTATCCCAAAAAACAAATTTTGAATGTATGCTAAGTATGATATTCAGAAAACACTGATGGTCAGATGATAGTGTTCACAGTGAATGATACCTTCCTAGTTGAATACCTACCTGTATTGCATTTTGTAAGGAAGCCTGATGTTGAAGTAAAACGACAAAATGTTGACTAACTGAGCAGTGTAAGTCAATGCAGCACTGATGCTAAATGCAGGGTTCAGTTCCACTGAACTAGTCATGTTGGAACCAGGTACTCCATCTTGGTTCTGAGCAACTAACACAAAAAAGTAGAAAACCTAGCTGAATTTGTCAAATGTGAGAGATTTATTTATTTACCCCAGATGTTGTAAGCTGAATAATTTCCAGATCCAGGTAGGGTGGGACCAACAATACAATATTTCATTTCTCCCATATAATCTGAATATTCCCACCTATCACTGATAAAAGTGGTCTGTGAAGCTTCTGCTAGAGCACTGACCATATCATCACTAGAAGATTCTGTTTCCCTAAAAAAAGTTATTGGCATTGAAAAAATCCTAGTAGGTAAAAGGTGATAACATACATTGTTGGTTTGACTGTTGATATTGGAAAAATATACTTAAACAATTGTTGTATTCTGATTTTCACAAGTTTCTTCAGCTCCTCTTGCTTTTCTCTGGTAGTATCTCTAATTTTTTCAACCTTTTCTCTACGTACTGCCACATAGTTTTCAAGTTCCTGTACTTTATTATCATACTTGGGTAGGCTCCTATTCCGTTTCTCATTTTTATCTTTCAACTCCAGAAACTTCACTTCATTTGAAACTTTGCTCTGTTTTTTGTTCTCTAATGCTGATTTTAGAACCTTTGTCCTATCCCTGGCCTGCCTGATTTTGGAATTCTACAAATATGGCATTGAAAAACAAGTAAATTAGCATCATTACTATTTACCAAGATATCAAATTTTCGTCTAGCTTCAAGTGAACTAAGACAGTTTTTCTCTATGGTTTTCTTACTATCCTGTAGCTCCAGTAGAGCTTTTTGTTTATCAATATACCTAGAACAACATCAATTATAATTGAATTTCTATGACAGGGTCTGATACAGTACCCTTCAGTAACTCTTTGCCTGGAACTGTAAAAGAGGCCACTGTAGATGCAATCTTTGCAATAGAATACTTTTCGGAAGTTATGGCACAATGGACACTTCTGTCTGTTGAGGCTCAGTCTGCTGCCACTGTCTGTAGACGTTGATAAATGAAAATCTTTAGGGGCTATGCTATCATCTGAACTGCTGATGGTGGCCATAACAGGATTTCAAGATCTCACTTGGAATTTGGATTCAACCATTTTTACTAAAAGTTAATGTCTCCTATTTATCAGAACAACAGAAAATATTGAGGAAGCTTCAATAATTCGATCAGGAACAACACAACAGTTGATTTTTTTCTTTCTGACCTGACTACTGGGTGATGGGTGATATCCACAAATCACGAAAAATGGAGCGGGAAATTTGAATTATTTAGAAGTATCTCGACTCTCTATTCTAGCATAGCTTGAATTTATATAATTATGAAACCCAATAGGAAATGTTCAGTAGAAAATCATTTTCTTTGAATTTATCATAACATGTTTTCTTTCATTAGGAAAATTTCATATTTCAATCTATTTTTTCTTCTTCTTCTTCTTCTCTTCACAATATAGTTTCTTTTCATTTTTTTCATGGGAAGTGAGGTTTGTAAGAACGGAACCATTCTACTTATTTTTTATTTCATCAATCAACATAGATGCATGGTGCAAGCATTATTTGAACTACTAAGAACGGGATGGTAGGCACAAAGCACAAAGGACAGGTTAGGTTATGTTATCTTGGCGGTTGTGGCGGTTTGCTGTTGCCCCTGCACGTCACCATTTCTGGCATTTCTTTATCATGTGGAACAAAATAAAATAAACTCCAGAACGAAATCATGTATGTATAATATATATTTATTATAATTATCAATTGTTTTTGATTTGTACAATCATCATACAATGTAATGCACTGGAATTAAATGAATAAAAGCATAAAGCATTAACAACAGTAGAAAATCTCAACATTTCTGATACAGATTATGGTCTCTGATCTAGCAATTAGCAGCAGCAAATACAAATCGAAAGCTTTTTTAATCATGATAGAGTCAATACATGACCTGTAACTTGATGTACCTATACATTTTTGAATGTAATTTTTTTTACTTATTAAATATAGAATCATCTTTTCCTAAAAGTAGGTATTTTTCAAAAATGTTGTATCTTAAAGTATGATTCATTGACTTGATAAAATATCACTGATAGTTGTGGTTTGTACTTTTGTATGGAAGAAAGACTAATCATATTCACTTTGTTGCTTCTGGAGGACAGTCTGGTTGGTTATTTGGATGAGCTGCAATGAAGGCAGGGTGGATCTCAAGCTCCCTGTCAATCCTCAATATGATCGGGTAAGGACGTAAGTCTACGTGAAATCTTCTAGCATTGAATACCTGCAAACATGACTATTGTATGTTCCAGGTATATGGTTATAGTCCCTTATTGAAAATCTCAGCACACCCAATATATTTTCTCATGAGTTGATATGAAAGTTTCAAGCATAATCTTTTTCAACAAATTACTGCCAAAAGTTGCTGATGGATATTTTGGCAGTTTGAACTTCTCCTTTCATTGGTAAGTATAATGCAAAAACCTTAGTTATTTCATCTAAAGCCTAGAATCATGTAGAAAAAATTTGGGGAAACCATGGATCTAAATACACACTTAGGTCTATGGGGAAACATTCAGACAGCTACCTGTGGTATCAGACAACAATCTGCCATTGTAATATCATCCCCAACACAATACTTTGCAGCACTAGCTGACAATAATTTCTCTACTGCTCTGAGTCCCCTCTTTATCCAATGCTTGGCCCATTCATTCTTCTTTTCCTCACCAACATGGATGAGAACTGTTAAATTCTGGAGTGGCTGGATACCAGATACAATCACCTCACATATTTCTCTCACCTGCAAAATATCACACATCAAATATGTTTATTGTTGTGGGACATAAAAAGTATAAGGAAGTAGAAGGTACAATAATTTGCTACCTTAGCTCTCTTGATGCAATCATTTGGTAGCAAAGGCCTATGGGGCCTAGTTTCTTCAAGGTAATGCATGATGCTCAAGGATTCCACTAGAGTGGCGCCATCTATGTGCAGGGCAGGAACTTGTTCCATGGGGTTGACCTCTCTGTATTCATTGGAATGTTGCTCTCCTCCAGATTTTATTAGAGATACTGGTTTTATGTCATAGTGGATTTCTTTCAAGTTCAGAGCTGAAACAGATATGACTTGGAATATCAAAGGACATAATGTTATCTGATGATAGTGATTATAGGAAGGGATTATGACAGACCCATATTAACAATTAATGAAATATCCATTTTTTGCAACATTTAAATGAGGTTAATTGAAAGAATTTAAAAAAGTTGACATTTGGGGAATATTCCTTGGACTGTATCATATTGTGTTCTGAATATACCTATTTACTTGTTTCAAAAAGACCTAGGCGATTTTTGGTAAATTTTATATTTTGATGAATCATATCCTTGGAAGTTAATTTCCCTTCTGTATGGATAATTTTTTTCATGAGATGGTTCCCCTTTTTGTAAATTATTTTATTGAAAGTACCTACCTATAATGTGATTTCTAAAAGGAGATATTGTATGTATTGCCATGATGTTGTTCCACCTTATACTATGAAGCTATTGTAGATGTGGATTTATCAATTAAGGCATGGTAAATGTTCACATTTGCCCAACTAGTAATGGGCGAACTTGACCTATTTACATACATTTTAGAATATAAATATATTTCACATAATATTATGTTACTTGTTGGTAAAACTTTCCATCTCTTCATAATCACCAGGCAATTGAATTTTATTTATTTTAGACATTTCAATAAACAATCAATGAGGGAAACGTAGTTGGGACTTATTTAAAAACCAAATGAATGAATAAATAATAAGGGAACTTGTTCACCTTGTATATAGAATACAAATATCTACATATTTATGAAGAATTATTATGTTACATAATTAACATAATTTCCATATTTATAACTCACCTATTCTCACTCTCCAAGAGCATGAGCTTCTCCAATAAGAGTAGAGGATTGGCTGTAAATAAATAAATAACATATTTCAAGATCAACTATTTATTTAATTATTGTTACCTGCTTCTGTTGTAATACTTAATTATTATCTCTTCAATAATTCCTACATTCAAACATATTTCCAAAACGTTTTTCATTTTGGTAGGTATCAATTGTCAAGTCGCCATAAACCTCCCCCCCTCAAGCTCAGTTATTTTTGAACCGATTGAAAATTTTTTGTTTTTTTCCGCTACATCAGAAAATACTATTTGATTTTTTCAAATGGAACACCCTATTTTTCATTGTAATTTTAAATTCTCCATGAAGAGCTGATTTCATCGATGCATCACATTTGGGGTCTAGCGAAAATGATTACAGAGATATAGGGTGTTCAAAATCGGGATTTTTCAACTTTGGGATTTTTCTGTGACGAAACTATTCATTATCGGTCAAAACGGCTTTCATGTCCGTATCTGAACTTTTTTTTTACTATCTACTGACATTTAATAATTGGAACAAATACAGGGTGATCAGAATTCTGAATCTTGATCCACACTGTATATATTCCAATTAAATGTCAGTAGATAGTAAATCAAAAGTTGAGATAGGGACATTATTATTATTATTATTATTATTATTAAAAAGTGATAATGGGCTGAGGTGTGAACCTATAAAAGCCCATTTATACATGACATAGTTGTATGGTACACATAAAGAAATATTATATATATATGTAAATAGCTACTAGACAAACAATTAGATTAAAAATAAAATTGAAAAAACAATTAAAAATGTTGAATAGAAATTGAACATTTCGAAATAAAATAAAAAGCCAAAACTCGATTTTGAACACCCTATATCTCTATAATCATTCCCGCTAGACCCCTATTGTGATATATTGATGAAATCAGCTCTTCAGGGAGAATCTAAAAATACAATGAAATACAGGGTGTTTCATTCGAAAAAATCAAGTAGTACTCTGTAGATCGTTTGCTCCGAGCACCTTGTATTTTCTGATGCAACGGGAAAACATTTTCTGAAAAATCATTTTAGATGATTTTTCAAATTTTTAAATCGGTTCAAAAATAAGTGAGCTAGAGGGGGGGACATTAATGGTGAATCACCCTGTACATTAAAAAAATATACCTCTTTGATGTTGAAATTCTATAATTCTAATTATTGTTCTTCAAACAGGGTTTTTTATTGGTTAAGGGAGAACAACTTCATCGCCGAGGTGGTTCTGAGAATGCCATGAATTTTACTCTTACAGTCTACATAATCGACACACCTATAGGGTGTTTTATTCATTATGGTAATTTATACAGAGGGGCACACTAACGAACCACCCAGTATATTTTCCAGATTTACTGTGCACATGTTTTCCTTGCACTACCCAAGCGCGTACTAACCATCAGAAAGAATCCAGGTCTCAATTCAATAAAATTCAATAAATGATTGTGTGTTCAAAACAACAACATAGTTCATCGAATTTTGTCTATTCAAATTTGAAAATTTCCCAAAGAATAGCATCAAACAGTGCTATTTGATTATCCCGCATACAATTTTATTTCCCAAATATCCAACTTGGATTATGTTCGTTTGTATTGGGATGGACAAAAATTGAATTTAATATTTTTTATATCAAATTACGAGGATATTTTAATATACTTTACTTCAATGCATATTCTTGTGCCTGTTAAACATTTCAATGTTTTCTTACTGGTCACTATACTTGAAAATTTTTCAACATATTTTCAAATGTCCTTTTTATAAAAATAAGACAATCGACCTGTAACCAAGCATACCTTTCCAGTGCCTTTAGCAAAGACGTTTGTATATTGAGCCATACCTTTCCCTGAAATGAATGAGAATGAGAGTTTCGAGATGTTTCAAGAAAATGATTATTTCAACTGGAAAAAGTATGATTTCAAATGTTTTCCACTCATATGGGAAACAATGACATCAACAGGGTGTTTGAAAAATGCGGAAATGTGAGAAGACATTGTAGCGATCTACAGGAACAAAAGAATGCATGAAATAACTATTTAATACGTTTAAAAAATGTTCGTAATGCAATATGAAAAACCAAAAATATTCTACATACTTTTGACCATCCAAATAAAAAAAACATTACTTTCAAAATTTTAGTAGCACAATCAGAAAGAACCTTGTTTGATTATATTTTCCGTGCAGTTTTCCAATTCGGAATAGAGTTTTGAAAATTCGATAATAAGAACAGGTGAGCTTTGGTCGGACAAAATAATTCATTGAATTTCTGATAATATGGCCTGGATTTTTTTTGACTAATATATTAGTTGCTTGGATAGTGACCGGAAAATTTGTGTACCAAATTTTCAAATATCAGGAAAATGTACTAGGTGTTTCGTTTTTTGCCGCTTTAAAGGATTGAGAAAAATAGATGAAACCGATATAGGTGGTTATAAATGTAAGAGTAAAAATTATGGTATATTCGACTACTCACCATGGTTGATGTATATGTTCCTTTTTCAAACATGAAACAATCGGTATGTTGAAGAGTTTTTTTCTTGAATGGATGTAGATTTTTCCTAGTTTCCAGTATATAAAAAAAATTTTGAATAATCGAAAATAATGTTCGAACTTTAAAAACTCGACTGTCAAGTAGTTGCATTTCGCAACAAAAAATAATTACAATGAATGAAACGTAGAAATCGAGACTTGAAAATTATTTTTTCTTCTTGATCACTCATTCCACCTCATTCAAATTTACTTTCTTGTGAAATAAAAATATTTATTGATCACTATCACTAAATAATTAAATCGGGCAATTTGAAGTATCGAACGATCTTACCTTTCCCATCAGCGATGACATTTCCATTCAATGAGCCATACAGTTGCGATTTTCGCGACTCTCACTCGCGGACTGTCCGCAATTTATAAAAAAACCGCAACTCGCGATGACCAAAATATTGCACCTAACCTCAAATTCGTATCGATCGCTCCTCGCTCACGAAACCACAGCAGCCAAATCTGCACGGAAAATGAAAGACATGGACATGAGTGGACGTATGAGGGGGATCGTCCAGATTCGCGAATCTCACGCTTTCAGTTGCCGACGACAGGTTTTCGCTTTCCATTTGATTCGGAAGGAGACAAACTGGTTTCTTTTCAGTCGAAGGTGAATTGTGTGAAAAGGCTTGGAATTTTTTGCGTGCGATATATTCGATCGAATTTGCATAAAGCTAGCAGTCGCGAAGTGTGTGAAAATTTTTTGCGATTGCGATGCTTTGTATACGAAACCGAGAAACGGTTTTCCAGATATCGCTGAACAGGGCCTTGCAAGAAATGATTGGGGTGAAATTGAAATGGGTTGTAATGTATCAAATAATATTACTGGAAAGTTTGTTTGCATGCAGGGATTTATGTGAAGGGTTGATTTTGCAAACGGTAACGATTTATATTAAAGTATATCATATACATGGTGAGTTAAAAATGTGTAACCAGTTTTCTGGATGTGATAGTTCACTGAAAAATAAGTATAGTTTGGTAAATAAACTAATGGCCCAAAATGTGTATCAAGGGATCCTTCCAAAGTTAATTTAACTAATTGAAAAGGAATATTCTCAGATATATTATAAACATGAAAAAATGGATACATTTGAATAAATACATTGAGAATTCGCATTCTCTATGTGATGAAATTATTAATCCTTTCTCGGCATATTCAACAGAAAACAACTACTTTCCTGGCTATATGCCACGACGAACATTGAATTATATCAATTGAACATAGAGAATGCGAATTCTCAATGTATTTATTCAAATGTATCCATTTTTTCATGTTTATAATATATCTGAGAATATTCCTTTTCAATACTTTCATACCCAATCAAGGGGTTCAAACTTGAACGATGGAAACTTGTTATTTTTATAGACCTTCAATCGCAGATTCGTGATTGGGTTTTTCTCAATTCAGAATTTCTTTCCACGCCCTGTATGATAAATGTCAGTTTGTCATACATCTAAAACAATTAATTTAACTAAAATAATTTTTCCGCATAAGTACTAAACAGTAAAAGACAACAAATTGAAATTTCCTGCATAAATGTGTGTTGATGGAATACAGTTTTTTGATACACTTCTACATTTCTGCCATAGTTATAAAGGGAGTTTTTAGAGGGGGGAAACTTTTCGATTTGAATAGGGACACCCAGTATATTATTCCATATTCAAGTAGAGTTCATTATTACAAATTCAACAAGGATTTTTTCAAACGACTACGAAGATATGACAACAAATAAAACGATTCAATAAAAAATTCATATGATTAGATTTCATTAATATAACACGTATGAAATCCAATGAAAAGATAATAATTAAAACCTCAACTTCTCATTATGTCGTTCCATGCTGCAAACATTTCCTAGCTCTTTTGATAACGTTCATCATTGTGACCCTATGTATCACGTTGCGATCAATTAGTGCGTATAAATTCGTGATTTTCTCTTTCATTTCTTCCTTCCATATCCACAAATTGGCGACTCATAAACATGTTGTTTCAATTACCCACACAAATAAAAATCAAGCGGGGTGAGATCTGGCGACCGAGCTGGCCAGTTGCTATCACCATCGAGACAATGAGATTTTCTTTAAACCGATGGCGAAGATAATCCTTTACGGGTCTGTAGTTATGTGCAGGACACCCATCATTCGATTTCAATCGTGTTATATTGATAAAATCTAATCATATATTTTTTATTGAATCGTTTTATTTTTTGCCATATCTTCGTAGTCGTTTGAAAAAATCCCATCAAACCCGGCATTCTTGAATTTGTAATAATGAACTCTACTTGAATATGGGATAATATACTGGGTGTCCCTATTCCAATAAGAAAATTGAGGTGCACTTCGGTGTGACCCTGTATACCTACGATTTATTCAATAGCATATTTCGAGTGAGCATCATCAAATATACTGGGTGACCAAATTTCAAGTAATTCGATCGCGCGGTTGATTTTTTACAGGAGGGGACATTTTAGCTGGGACACGGTGTATACTCTTTCTGTGGAACTAATGAGCGATTTTTGATTGTCACCAGAGATCATAGTGTTAGAATCATTTGCGTAACAAATAATCTTAACATTTGGAATATTTTCGACACAATATGGTCATTCGCAAATATGTTGAAAAGTAGAGGAATCAGAACTGATCCCTGTGGAACACCCTGTGTGATGCTACAAGGACTACGAATATCATTCAGTAGAACAACCTGATTTCTATTGAAAAAATTTTAGAGGAATATGCCTCTTATTCCATATCTTTCAAGTTTAGCCAATTAGGATGCTATAGTCAACTACATCGAAAGCTAATATATTCATTAGATTTAGATAGGGGAGAGAAGGTGAGAGATACAGTGCCTTTCTGTAAGCCCCCCCCCCCCTTATATTTTTTGAACGGGTCAACGAAAAAAATTGAAACGGTGTAATGAAATTGATTGATATTTCGGAGTAAAATTGCAAGATGAATATCTCAAGATGGCGACTGGGCCCCATCTGGGAAAAAATTGAATGAAGCTCCTGACGAATACTTCACAACCCTATAGTATATAAAGTCAATATCTTCATCTACTACAAAATGGGGAAACATTTAATAGTTGTCTGAATCACATTGATAATACTTTTCCTGGTCGTTGGATTGGACGTCGAGGTCCTACGGAACGGCCAGTCCGCTCGCCAGATTTGACACCTTTAGACGTTTTTTTATGGAGCTATTTGAAGCAAAATGTGTACGGAACTGCACCTGCTGCAATATCAAAACGACAGAGAATGATAAATATTTGTAGAAATATCGACGTAACTGTGTTCTAAAGTGTCTAAAGCATGAAATATCCGATAGGTTGTTCTTATGTCAAGAAGTTCAAGGCAACCATTTCAAGCATCTTCTGAACTGAATTCAGTTTATTTTCTCAAATTATACAGTGTGTCATACTTACCATGCTCACCATGGGTATCTTTTTAACGGTGAGAGATACGAGGTCGGTTAAATGACACCAAATGTGGAGTTTGTCAAGGCCAACTATAATGAAAAAAAAATATTTCGATAAAATCTATTCGTTTTTGTTTTATACGCAAAAAACAGATTTTGATCATTTTCATGTCTCCTCCATAACTTCTTCATTCATGAAAATATTCAAATAGGAATTTCACATTCTCATGGCAGTTTTTCAAAGTGATTTCGAAAAAAATATGAAATTTATAACAACTCTCCTAGAATTTGAGATTTCAGCACCAACTTTAGTTTTTCAAATATAGGTCATAGCTCACTATGACTTAGTTACAAATAACTTATTTTTCTCTTACAGATGATATGTCGCAGTAATAGTTTTGTGTTGATAACAACGGAGTTATCGTCATTTATACAACCTTAGAGGTTTCAATTTTTTTCGTTGACCCGTTCAAAAATTAAATGGGGGAGCATTAAAGGAAAGCACTGTATATATTTTTTGATTTTTGTTATTCTCTGTCATTGTTTTCATTTTTTCCTCATTGTGAATTTGGAAAATATAACAAGTGAAATAAAACACCTTGTTTAGGAGAAATTCAATCATTATTTTTTTTTTAAGAAAATAAAAATTTGATAAGATCTCACTCTGTAGTTACAAAACTTAACAACAATCATAACAACTTTGTTTTCCTTAGGAAAAATATAAATAAATTTCATGATGAGATTTGTTTCCGTCTCTAGTGTATGGTTATATGAAAGACTGCGATTTTTATTCAAAGGACACCAAAAATCGAATCGATTGGGCATGATGAAAATAAAATAAATATTACCCATAGCTTTGGTAAATCATATGGACATACACATTTTTTGGTGTCCCTTTTTTAACAAGTCGAGCAACAAGAATGGAAAAATGGATATGGGCCATGAAAATGAGGAAGCATGAATAATACGTAATATGGCACTATGAATTTATTGAAATTTATGTGTTCATAACAATATATTATAGAGTCCAAACTAACTAGTTTGCAACAAAAAGTGATAAAATAATGAAAAAAAGAAGAACTAATCACTGCAACATAACCGTTAATAATTAATTAGGTATTTTCAACGGATGATTGAAACTCATAATTCCTATACTGTCTCCATCTATGTGACTATTTTAATTGTTATTGGTATAAATCTTCTGAAACTCAATCCCATTAAGAGTATTAACAACTACATAATAATTGAAGTATGAAATGAATAGCACAGAACCAAAAGTGCGTTATCCGGTAAATAATTGATACATATACTGAGGGGCCTTTAAATAAATGTATCTGGAATAATATTCAAATTGAAAATAATCCGAGGAAATGCTTCACTAAACTTAGTGTGAAATTTCTCTATACCAGCCATTATTTCACGACTCAAGTCCTTCGTTGTAAATTGAATCAAATATTGTCCATATTCATTGTGAATATATAGTGTAAATCAACATGCAGGGTGATAAAAAAATAATACAGGGTTGGGATGAAGTATGGAACCAAGCAAATATCTCGGTAACCGTTTGTTAGATTTTTTTAAATTCATGTACAGGATGATTTCAGAACGTGTCGGATTTGAAAATGTTATCGCCAATGTTGCCACTTTTTCAGTTATTCCGTATTTTAATCAATTTTCAGATTCTCCCTGAAAAGCTGATTTCATCGATCTACCACACTTGGGGTCTAGAGGGAATGAATACAGAGATATAGGGTGTTCAAAATCGAGATTTTCCAATTTCAGGATTTTTTGTGTTGAAAAAGTATTCATTATTGGTCAAAATGTCTCACATATCCCTATCTTAACTTTTGATTTACTATCTACTGACATTTAATTGGAACGAATACGGGGTGGACCAAGAATCAGAATTCTGATCACCCTGTATCTGTTTCAATTAAATGTCAGTAGATAGTAAATCAAAAGTTGAGATACGGACATGTGAGCCGTTTTGACCAATATCTCTGTAATCATTTCCGCTAGACCCCAAGTGTGATAGATCGATGAAATCAT